AATTCTCAACAGTAGAAATCAATTATGAGATCCATGACAAAGAACTTCTTGCAATTGTAGATTCTATTCAAGAATAGCATCATTATCTAGAAGGTGCTTCCAGTCTAGTCACCATGTATATGGATCACAAGAACCTCGAGTATTTCATATCAGCACATATATTAAATCATTGTCAAGCTCATTGGAGTATATCTTTATCGAGATTCGAGTTCATCATCACTTATCCACTAAGAAAATAATAAGGTTTGTCTAATGCCTTATCTAGACATTCTTATCTTGCACCAAAAGAAGGAGATGCAACTTTTGAGCAACAAAGAACGGTTCTCTTAAAGCTAGAGCAATTTCATCTTCGAGCAATAAAATCAACATTGATTGTTGATTTAACTTTTCTCAAGCAAGTCCAGTTAAGTATGTCTTCAGATCCTCTTGTTCATGATATCAAAAATAATTCTTCTAAATCTCATGATCCTTCTAAATTCGAATTCAAGAACAACCTACTCTATTTCAAAGGATGCCTATATGTTCCAAAAGGAGAAGCACGTTTGTGTATTCTTGAAGCTCGTCACGACTTCCCAATAGCAGGACATTTTGGATACAATAAGACTTTAGAGCTGATATCTAGGGATTTTTGGTGGCCTCAAATGTGGAAGGCAGTTAAAGATTTTGTATAATCATGTGATGTTTGCTCAAGATCAAAAACTCCTCGTCATCGACTTTTTGGACTTCTTCAGCCATTACCCATTCCAAAACAACCATAGTCTTTTGTTTCTATGGACTTCATCATGGATCTTCCAATCTTAGCTTATTATGACTCTATTTTCATGATGGTAGATCGTTTTACCAAGATGGCACATTTTGTACCATGTACAAAATCTATCACAAGTAAAGAAATAGCTAAGCTCTTTCTTGACAATATCTATCGCTATCATAGATTATCCAAGGATATTATATCAGATATGGGAATTCAATTTGTATCAAGATTTTGGCGGACTCTTTTCAAGATTCTAAAAGTGGATATAAAACTATCTTTGGCATTCCATCTTCAAACTGATGGACAAACAGAGCGTGTTAATCAAGTTTTGGAGCAATATTTAAGATGTACCATTAACTACCAAGAAGATGATTGGACAACTCTTTTGCCATTGGCAGAGTTTGCTTACTATAACATGGTACATTCTTCTATAAAACAAACACCTTTTTTTGCTAATTATGGTTATCATCCACGACTTGATACTTTTGACTTTTCAAAAGTTGATAATCCTGTTATGAAAGATTACGTGATTCATTTGTCAGAGCTACATGCAACGATGAAGACGCAGTTAAAAGAGGCTCAAGAACAACAAAAGGTCAATGCAGATGTCTATCGAAAGGAACAACCACCATTCCACTTGGGTGATAAGGTATGGCTACTTCATCGTAATATCAAGACCACTCGTCCTTGTGACAAGTTGGACTATCAAAGGCTAGGACCATTTTCTATTTCTATACAAATCAATCCAGTCGCATATCGTTTACATCTACTGGAGTCAATGAAAATCCATCCAGTATTCTACGTGTCTCTTCTTGAACCATACAAGACAATGGATATATCAAGAAGATGACAAGCTCCACCTCCTCCTATAGAAGTGGACAATAATGAAGAGTTTAAAGTAGAAGAAGTCTTAGATTCAAGGCGGTGCCAAAATAAATTAGAATATCTTATCCATTGGCACAGATATAATATTAGTCAATGCACATGGGAGCCAGTAAAGAATCTTACAAACGCAGCAAAGGTGATGGAGGCTTTTCATCGACGACATCTATCAAAATCAAGATAAAAACCTCCTTTATAAAAAAAACAACATCTAGGCAAGATAACATTCTACTTTCAATCTTTGTTTATAGCTTATTTGTAGTTGTGACGCTCGGGAGATGGAGAACCAACAACCAGCAGATTCGATTCAAGAGCCTTCATTTGCTAACTTATCAGACGAAATATTACGATTGTCACAACCTTCAAGATGATGTAATCGAGATAAAGATCTTCAAGAACGACATGTTCTTCCTCGAATAGATGGCGAGATACAACGTATTTGGTATCACGACTTAGGAAACGACTCTCGATGTTTGGTGATTTTACTAGAGGTAGGAACAACTCCTAATAGTATTCCAAATGTTCTATTCGAAGGAAGTTATGAAGGCCTCAACAATGATCAAATAACTGGGTGGTCTTCTTGCCTTGGTATGGGACACTACCGATGGTTGAGAGGCCCTATCAATCATCTTCAAAGAGAACAAAGATCAGAGTATGTGGCAAATACAATTCGTCGCATCATAGATTTCCTCAACATATGATGACCGCTTCTCGTAGAATTCATCCCTAGAAGGGGGGTTATGTCATGGACAAACTCATGTAAGCCAATAATTACATATATAAATAGGTAGAAGTAAGTAAAAATAGATAAAAGTAAGTTAATTCTAGAGTATTTGGTATGGAAGCTTTCTAGAAGCTTCATAGACATTGATTTGACTTTATAGGTGTCTTTAATTGACTTTATGGATTAGTGTCAAGGACATGAACTCGATGAAAAAATAATTCAGACAAGTGAGCCTTCACTCAAAGAAAGGTAACAAAATATAAATAAACAAGTATGTATATCGAAAGAGAAACTGGAATGGCTATTGCCAAAAGACAAGAAAACTAGAGACCCTTGAAACTAGACTAGAAGCAAGAAAGGAGTTGACAAGAGTGAAGAAGCCTTCACTCTTGTCTCTATATATACTATCTAACTAAGAGCTACGTGGCGACGTTCTATAGGACCTCCAATATGTGTTGACTTTGTAGGGCACATGCCTTGACTTACAAGGCAAGTTTTTCTACGTGTGGGCCACATAGTTAGCTTGATCTTCAAGCTAACAACATGTGTGGCACATGGCCAACTTGTTGACCACGTTTTTAATCCAAAAAGTCAATTAAAGACACCTATGAAGTGAAAATAGCATCTAGGAAGTTTCTAAAAAGCTTCCATATTAAATATTATAGAATTAACTTACTTTTATCTATTTTTACTTACTTCTACCTATTTTTATATGTAATTATTAGCTTACATGATTATGGCCGTGACAATTAGAAACGTGGTCAACAAGTTAGCCATATACCACACATGTTGTTAGCTTGAAGACCAAGCTAACAATGTGGCCTACACATAGAAAAACTTGCCTTGTATGTTAAGGCATGTGTCCTACAAAGTCAACACTTATTGGAGGTCCTATAGAACATCGCCATGTAGCCCCTAGTTAAATAGTATATATAGAGACAAGAGTGAAGCCTTGTTCATTCTTGTCAACTTCTTTCTTGCTTCTAGTCTAGTTTCAAGAGTCTCAAGTTTTCTTGTCTTTTGGCATTAAACCTTTCCAATTTCTTTTAATATATGTACTTCCTTATTTCTATTTTGTCACTGTTTCTTGATACGGATTTCATTGGTTTATGCATCATCTTTTAGTTCATGTCCTTGACACTTACCATATTAATATAGGGTATTATTGATGTTACCATATTTTTTGCTATTGCCACAACAATCTCTATATAGCACATGTCATCTAAACCCTTTGTCGATGCTAAAAATCAAAGTATAAATTTTAAAATTATATATGTATGTGTATATATATATATTTTTTAATAAGAATAAAAAATTATGACTAAAAATTTAGTAAAAAAAATCATTTTTAAAGATATATTAATATTAAATTTATTTTTTATATAATTTAAAGAAAATATATATATATTAGAAGTATCAACAAAAAAAATAAATTAAATTAAAGAAATTTTAAAAAACATGTCAAGTTGATAGCATATTGTGGTGGAAGTAACAGAATTTGTAGTGGCATTAGTAATACCTTTAATATGTGTTTGAATCAAACACATATATGTATATAAAACTGTATGTATGTATGTATGTATGTATGTATATATGTATATATTGCTTAATATTCTCCTTGCTTCTATTTTTGTATTTGTACATTACTTACTATAATTTTTTTTAATTATTGGTATCAGAGTTTCTTTTTTTATTTTTTTCTTAAATATGTGAATATGTAAATTATATAAACTCGAAAGAATTTTTGTTTTCTGCATTAATGCATGTTGAAGAAACATATCAATCAACTTAGAAAACATACAATTCCTTTACTTAGTCATGAATCATTTTTATCGTTAGATCTTTTAAACAAATTTGTATAAAGAATTAAAAATCATTCTTTACTACAAAGAAAAAAAATTGTTTCACAATTTTACACAATCAACTTCAAGAAAATAAATCTGCCACAATAAAATAAAGTAAATAAAAATTGAACATGTATACACATATATAATACAAAATTCATGGCCAAAATTAATTTGAATACAAACAATGATGGGTGAACCTCAATGGATGAGAAACATTGGATATGAATGAAAAATCAAGTAGTATATGGAAAACATAAATGAAGACAATTTCATTCATGTACACCAAATATGGACTTGTGAGATTAAAGTTCTCTCAGATAATGCTCAAAGGTACTTGTATACATTTCAAAGACAATCATTTATCAATCCACAACTTACTTCATTTTTTATTTTTTTCTGAACAAAAACCAATTTTTCATCTCATTTTTTTTACTATTTTTACTTTTTGTATTCTCATCTCAAACCTTGCCAAAACTCGAAAGTTTCTCCTCCAAATTTTCAAATTTTTATTAAAAATGATGGATCATTTTATGGTTGCAAAATTAAGAACCTACAAGTATATACATAATTTTAATTGTTTGCACATGTCAATGCACACACACACACATATCTATATATATATATATATATATACAAATGCACTAGAAAAGACCTCGAGCCATGTCGGAATACGACAAAACACTGCATAATTGGACCACACTAACAAAAGGGATCCCATTGCTGTCAAAAGCAACGGATTCCAAACGGAATTGTCCTCCAACCTCGTGGGAATCGCAAAATGATTGAGTTGGTCGATGCAAGCCCATTTGGATGGATGATCATTTTCCATCCTGCCACGTCACCACTCGTTGGCGGGCATCCAACTCGCCCTACCAAAATTGGCAGGAATCCGATCTTATACATGTTGATTGGAGGTTGGAAGCAGGGAATGTTTCCTGCCAAGTGGCAGGATGCGGGGATGCAACACCAAGTGTCAATTTGGATGAATGATATTTTACATTCTTCTTCAAAATTAGGGCTTCATCTATATCTCCTGGGCAGGCCCACCCTCGGTGGACTGAATTGCCATAGCTTTGAAGCACGAAACGACGAGCGGCCTTTTTCATTGATTGGGCTCTTGTCAATTGTGGAGACGGAGGTGGATTGTTGTCTTTGGTGAGATTAAGTAATTGGTTGTGAATTTCGGCTATCTTTTTTTCGCTTTTATTACAATAAATATCGTTGTGAGTACTCGTAGTAGTCTTGATATATATATGCTGTAAGCAGAATTCAGTGTGGTGGTTTGAGCTCTTCCTCCTTAAGCAATCCTGGTTTCATGCAAAGACTTCACCGTCGTCTTGTTAGTAACTTGCAGCAGCTATGATTCTTGCCCCGCCGCGAATTGGCAACCCGCTCCCTATCAGGACGACTCTGCTTCATCTGGTGGGTGATGACTTTCGGTGACAGAAGCGAACCAAACTAAGGATTCATGGCCGTGAGTTGTGAAGAGGGCAAGCAGTGCTTTGCTATTTCAATCATGTTGGGGGTAAGTGCACCTGACGAACCATATCAGTTCCCATGGGATAAACCTAATCCGCTGTACAAGTCAAACAGTTGCAGCCATGCTGAGGGAATGTTCCGAAGGATATCGATAACGTAATCTGTGTTGATCCCTAGCGATGAACCGTGTTGAAATCAGCCGAATTATATGTCCAGATTAATGTTCTGTAACTGAAACATCTGATTGCTGTAAAAATCAAGTAATATTATTGGTGATAACCTAGACAGGTAGTAGGCCACGGGTTGGTTATGGACAGCAGAGGGTCGTGTCATGATAGGTGCTGGTAAATTTCGTCCCATGTTTCTTCCTGTACCCTGATCCCTGTAGTAGTCTAGGCTTCATACGCACGATGTGCTGCATTAAATTAACACTTTTCGTGTGGATTGGCACATTCCTCATACATATTCCTGGATCTCATGTCTATAAGAAGATAAAGTGGATTACAATGGTCTGGGATTCGACTGGGCTCTGCGATGCTGTTGGTTCAGAACCCGTGTGGTTATTGAGAGATTTGAGCTGTGGTGTTCCATGCTTGATGTCGATCCTCACAGGTAATCCCACCGAATTCTGATTGTCTTGGGTTGCTGAATGTGAAGATCGATGAAATTTGTGTGGCGGTGGATTATTTCGATGGGAAGTAGAGCTTTTTGCATGTTTTGTGGCTGTTCCATGACTCTTATGCATCTCTTTTCATTCCAATGAATATGAAGGTACATGCGACGCACTCACAGATGAGAAAAATCAAAATATATAATAAAGGGAAAAATAATAAAAGAAAAGAGGAGGCAAGTCCTGAGTGATTGGGGCTTATGGAGGGCATGCAACTCATCTGATATTTCTGATTCATGCGGTAAGAATTCATGAGGAACATGAATGATAAACTTTACTCTCATGTTGCGCTTCTGACATTGAGAGAAGGGTACTGAAGCCGTTACGAGTTATGCAACATTTTGGTTTTAATGCTGAAAAGTTCTAGATTGTAAGAATCTAGTTTTTGCTTAAAAACACTTATTTCTAGGTGTTCACGAATGTTTAGTGTAACAAGTTTGGAGATCACAAAACACGTTCATTACGAATTAAGTCAAGGTTAGATGAGTTCACAGGTTCATTCGAGAAAGAAATTCCTACTCTCTCATTTTAAGATGCTTTGAAGAATTCTTGGCCTCGTTGTGACCGAAGATGAGATTAGGAAACTCCAGGAAAACTTCATAGACGGGAGACGACACAAACATGACCAAGTACTCAGTCACGAAATCAATCACCGAATTTCTAGTGCTTGGGAGATGTGATTATCAGAAGATTTTCCTTCAAACATTTGAGCGCCGTGGGTGCTCCTGAGAGCTTCTTCGTGCACAGGACCTCAGAAAGCAAAAATAAATTTCCTTCGTATCTCTGTCAGATGAGTGACCCAAATTATAGAATACAAATTCCTGAAACAATTCATCGTTCTTGTCAGTATGTTCAAGCATGTAGTTCAGTAATTTGTAGCGTTCTACAGGCGATTCTTACAGTAAAACCATCACCCATTTCAACATGGTGCTCTGCACAAGACATCCATCAATGGGGCTTCACATGGAAACACAGTTGTGTGTTCCAGTAAGAAGATTTCCAAAATGACCATCGTTGTGCACTGTTACTCTCTTTCTAGATTGTGAACTCGAATCAAATATGTACGGCTCTGAGACCCACCAATTCAGATCTCCTTTAAAACTGATTCCAGTTTCTTCAGTTCCATGCATTACATTCCACCACTTCAATCATTCTAAACTTTCAGAATTTAGTTGTCATCAAAAAAGCCCTCCGAACTACATTGGAAAAGCATAACAGGCTTAGAGGCCACATCACATTGCCGACAACCTCATCGCGTTTAGAACCTCAGAAACCAGGTTCTCCTCGCAAATGAGACACCTCAGATCTTCTCATTGACAAGACCATCGAAATGCAAACCACTTTAACATTCAAAATTCTTAGAATAACCTGCGTCGGCGTAGTCCAGATTCATTGCGAAAATGTACCCAGTTTCGTATGCAGGATGATGGAGCACAGTGTCGGTGGTGAGTCGCCACCACCCAACACTGGCATTTCCCTGCAACTGATCAGCTTTAATGACGAGTTTATACGCACAGCCTCACATCAATAGCCGTGCAAATACTGACCTCAATTTGACATCAGTAAATCTAAGCAAAAAATATTAATATATATATATATATATATACAGAGAACAGAGAACAGAAAACAAGCTTCACTTATAATGCAATTCAGTGTCAGTCCGCACCCCTCGTGCGCGTTTCCAGGCTCTGCATGCACCGAGATGGAGGGCAGGAATATGCTGGCGCGATATGCCATGTCAGCAACTTCCGGATGAGACTGTGTGAGCTGGATCGACATGGCAACCCCTGCTCGCAGGCTCCAGTAGGATGACGTGGCCAAGTAGCACTTCCTTCGTCAGCGTTGCTTTGTAATCAGATTAAGAGGCATTTAATGTATCAATATGGTCTTAATTTCGGGGAAAATAGGGGGGGTGGGGATTTGTACACCAATCCAGCTGGCACTTCCTGCCTGGGTATTTTGACAACTGGCATGCTGACGTGGGCGCCGCCTCAAGCTGTCTGGGTGCGAAGAATTGCCCAGCAGCTTCTTCCTAATTCATGGTCCAAATCCTTTTCACTATTTTATTTTTTATTATTTGTTTCTATCTACTCCCCTCTCTCTTATTATGTATTTTATATTTGTATTCATGCTTTTTGAATATTCTGAGTTATGATAATTTGTGTGTTTTTGGGTTTTGGGACTATGTTGTATAATTTTCACTAATTTTTTCTCAAGTTAAATGAGTCTCTCTCCCTTATTCATGCTATTGTAATTAGCATGTTTATTACAAACTTTAAATTGTATCTTGATATTAGAAATTAAAGACAAGAGAAATAAGTATTAATTCTAAAAGGAATTTATAGAACACAATTGTAGATAAAGATAATGTGGGCCTTTCTCAATCTTTTTTGTTACATATATATACATTCCACTTTGGAGACATGTGTTTGTAATACACATGTAATAAACTAAATATTTCATTTCAAATTAGTTTTCTTAGAAAATTTCTTAATATATAAAAGATTTTATTATTTCCAATTTGAAAACCTGCTAAAAGTCTTAAATCTAAATTTCTCACAAGTTACTTACTGTAATATTTTCTAAGTAGTTTCTTCTGTGAGTTTGCCAAAAAAACATTTATCTAGCTTCAATGAAGACCATCAAATTGGATTTTTTTTATTATTCATAGTTTTATTAAGGTATACACTACTATTTAATAGTTCTCCTTGCAATTGTACATAATCACAATAGCATAGTGATATTTAAGTTTGTTGTTTATCTAATCATTTTTTAAATGTAATAATTATATTTTAAAACTTTAAATAAAAGATATATTATGGTCTTATACTTATTTTTAAGTAGTTTTCAAATAAGCATACATTAAGACTTGTATGTCAAACCTTAAAAATTTAAATATTTGTTTTCTAACAAGAAACATTTTCTTAATCATATATAAATGAGTAGTACTATTAATCTATGTAGCACTTGGCTCCCATTTACCAAACAATATTTTAGGGTGTTATTACATTTATCTATTAAAATTATTAGAAAACAATGATATTTTACCTAGACATTATCTTCATAGTTTTACAACCAACATTTGAAAAGGAGTATAATTACCACTTGATCCAATTTTTAATCCAATACAACATAACTTTAGTGCTATTGAAAAAATATTCTCTAAAGAGTTTTACAAAAAATATTATTTAAGAATAAAATATTTATACAATTACTCCAATTATTGATTTACAAAGAAGAAATTATTATTATAAATGAGGATGGATTATTATGAATTTTAGAAATTAATAATTTTATTTATTTATTTATAAAAATTTTCAAATTTTGATCGATTAAATTAAGATAAAATAACTGCAAAATACATCTATCCTAAACATATACTCTAATTCAGATAAGACAAAGAAACAAACACATATGTATGTATGTATGTATGTATGTATGTATGTATGGATATTGTTTTTAGAATTTCATATCTAATGAACAAACAAAAGTTCTACATATTTTTCATAGTTTGAATAATCAAGTTAACTTGTAGTTTATTTTGATAGTTTTATATTTTTATTAAATCTAAAAAAATTAAAAATCAGAAAAAATAAGAAATAATTTTTAATTTTAATTTTACTTTATAAATTTTAAATACATGTATTTCAGAAGACAAATTTTGATATAAAAAGGAGTAAATTTGATCAAAAATTCTAAAGATTGTTATTGAAAATATTTTTGAAAATCTATATATTCACTAATTACTTAATTTTATGATTTTAGATTATCAACTATTTAAAATTAAATTATGAGGTTTTATTTATTTATTTACTTAGTAATTATTACTTTATTAACTATGATTTTTATTAAACTATCCTACTTGTTGTTCTTTATAATGTTTTTACAACTTACGTATTTAAATTCCAATTATATTGATGCCAATAAGCTAACTGTAAAAAGCTAACAGATTTATTTCTATTATGTATTATGTTTTTGAGTATTTTTTACTTTAACTAATAAAATTAATAACAGAATATGCTTGTTATTTCAAAATACAAATTGTTGACTACTATAAAAATACTTTTCTAATTTTAAAATGCAATTGTTTGCAAATATAAGCATTTACTTATCAATTCATTAGTGCACCTATAACAAAAACCTATTTATATGTATAATGTACACAAAGATGTTTCTTTTTGCTATTTCTATTTTATAATTATATTATTGATTATTTGGATGGTAAGTTATCCCTAATTTCTGAAGATCATTTAATTCTCATTGTAAAATTAAACACTAGATTGCCACTTCTGTAAATAAGCAAACTGAACAGGATACCTTGATCAACCAAGAAATAACTTGAAATTAAGAACGTACTTTTCAGTCTCGTTTTTAATAAATATATCTATATATATATATATATATATATATAATTGTTCTACATCAACAAATGTTTATCAAGAAACTTTTTTCAGATTGAAAATAATTTCTCTATGTGGGTGGTATTGATTTTGGTAGCTACGACATGGAGCTTTGAATCAATACTTGTACTCAAAAGGAGAAAAAACACAAGGAAAGAAACAACCAATAAGTTGACGTTCATCATTCGATATTTAATATCGAGAATTGAACAATCAGCAATCTTTAAAAAAAACTAATACAAAAAAATGGCAAACGAAGGAAGTTAACATGTAAGTTCGTATTTAGTGAAAATATTCATAAATGTTGTCCACTAAATTATAAATGTGTGGGGGTGGAATGACCCACCATCAATTCCTTTGCCCTAACGGCTATTCTTTTGACGAACTTCCAGCCACTCACGTGTAGACACGTCTACCAATTCTGCTATCACACCATATTTACGTCTTCTGCCCCAAACTCAATTCTCTTTCTGCGAAATTTACTCCCACGTGGACTCCATGTCCTCACAGTCTATCTTGTTATTTTTATTATTATTTATTATTGGTTATTATATTTTACTAGGTGAAATTCCTGCATCTCGTGGTGATTTTGAAGAATGAATAAAGTTGAATAGTCCTCTTCTTTCTTGTACAAAATATATAAAATTTAAAAATTTAAAGTCAAAAAGATAATAATAATAATAATAATAATAACAACTTGTGGGTTTGCTAATTCTAGACGCACTTGCTTTCCTTACACAAAATGTGAATACCAATTATTATTGATAATTTGATTGCCGGAGGGAAGTCAAAACATGTTCATGCAAAAATTACATTTAGCCATTCATATAATTTTTATTTTTATTTTATTTTATTTTTTTCCTTCTAAAGGGGAATCGTTTACAATAGAACACATGTGAATTTCCCTAGGGACTCTTTTATATCAAGAGGTACAACATGTCATGTGTAGCGCCACGTGTCAATCAGCAAATGACCTGGCAGTAATGCAACAGTAATTGCATTCATACTAAAATATAATATTATAATAATTTTCTTTCATCAAACTTCATCCCCCTCCCCCCATATGGATAACGTTCCAAATGTCTTATCCTTAGCCCAAGTTATTATAAACTCATGAAGGCTTTGTGATTGACGAGTGGCTTCAATTCCAGCTCTCCTAATCCACGATCATTGAACAAACATATATATATATATATATATACAAACAAACAGCACCGAAAAGCCAAAATATACAAATCAAGAGAGTTGTAATTATATCGGTAGACATCGAGCTGCCACTTGTGGACCCTTTTTCTCCAAACCAAGATCTTGGTCTTCAAGTAATAAAATTAAATGAGATGCGACAGTGTCAGTAATAATAAAAAGGTTCTTTTCCACGTGGCTGATGGATCCTCCAGATAATGATCCGAGCTGGATCTCCAGCGCAGCAAGTGCCACCTCGGATGACGAATTAGTCTTCAAAGCCCTCCCAGTTAGTTCGAATGACGGTGTGGGTAGAAAATATATTTTTCTTTTTTAAAAGAGAAGAGAAAAAGAGAGAGGAAAAAAAGAAAAGGATGAAGCTGTTATTGGTTGTGATTTAGGGTTTAGCTGTGAAGAGGAAATTATCAGAATGTGGATATTATTATTATTTTTATTAAAGAGGTGAGTCGGTCATCATCATACAAAACAATTCATTGACTATTGTAAGAAATGAGAGAAAAGC